ATCTAAAGATAATCACATATGCTATAAAAATCTTACCCACTGTATTAGAACATATATATTTAGATATTAGTGCAGGACATAAAAGATGACATTTATCCTTCAAAGAATAAACACATTCACCACTCTTATCATTCAGCTGCTGAAACAAAACTGCACTATTTCTCATTTTACAGATCCTGTCTTCCTTTTCTGTTTCCCTTTTCTCTGCCCACAACTGGAAAGCTGGTTGAATCCTTCAGCAAAAGCAAATCCCAACTTGATGTGACATCAAAACTCCATCAATGGGACCACCTGACACTGCCTGACCATCCAGGCTTCATTGGAACAACTCTGCCAACCCCCCATAACCCCAGTTTTCAAACAGCCTTGCTATTTTTTTGGCCTGCAGCCTTGTATGATGCTGCTGCTGCCAGCACCCCTCATTTCTGACTTATCCCCTCTGCCATTTGGCCATGGGCACCTGCAGCACAAGACCTTTATAAAGCTGCTTTTCAAGGAGTATCAGACACCTTTACATGCCCACAGTGAGTGTTTCTTCCTGTAATTGTTGTTACATTCTCAATCTGGGGACATGAGGCAGGCACTTCTGGATTACTGACATTTTAGCTACCTCATTTAAGATGAAATTAATTTACAAAACATCTGCCAGCCTGAAGTTTGGGTCTTCTTGTACCATTGCTGCACATTTCTCTTCTTGCCCTTTCATTCCATGCCAGGCTTTCCAAGCTGGATTTCCATATGCTCCTGTTAAGACTGGTAATTGCTTGAAAAGACTAAAACATTTGTACTTTTAATTTTTTTCCCCACAAACTGTTTGAGGATGTTTAAAGAAAAGCAGATCTCAGCCATCCAGTGAAGTGTGAAAGCTTCTTTACCCAGATCAAGCCACCACCCTGTGGCTGTGCATCCCTGATTTCCCCCAGCTGGAAATTCCAAGTGTCCCATCATTGTCTTGCACAAGGTACTGGTGGATTCAAACCAACAGGGATTAAGGAAGGATAGGAAGTTTTCTGCATTGTTTAATCAAGTTTGTCCCATATTGAGCTCTCAGTGCTGGGCAAAATGCTTTAGCCCTGCTCTGATCCTCTCCTGGCTTCATGATGGGTGAAGTAAATGGAATGATAATGGCATCAGGCTTCCACAAAACCCTTCAAAATTAGGATCTTTGTGTCTGTGGAAAGCTGCTGCTGCTGCTGCAACATGGAACTTCAGGAAAAACACACTGAACTGATGACCTGACATGCTCCCTGCTTGGCAGAAACCCCCCCTGCTTGTACTGGGAACAGCTTCAGTGAGAGAGCAGACAGAATGAAAAGTCTGAATGGAAAAAAAAAAAAAAAAGCCTGTTTAGAAACAACTACAGACAGTAACAACAGGGAAAAGAGTCTCTATGTGGTGTCCAAAATATTTCCTTAAAAGAATGCCCAAGCTCTTAAACATGGTCTGCAATATTCCAGCTCAACATCTCCTTCAAAAACGAATGCAGTTATTATTTCACCCAACAAACACTCCCAAACCCTCAGTAAACACTTGTTCAATAAAGGGATGAGAATAAACCCATTCAAGGCCAAGCAAGAGAGTTCAGCTTTAAAGGATTTCTAATCCAGCTAATCCAAGCCCTTTCAAAAACTTTCTAGTACTTCTAAACAACACCCTGTTATGTTTATCTGTCCCTGAGATGTGCTGTTCTTCCTGCAGTGTTGCAAAAGCAAGGGTTGTGCAGAGTGATTAGAAGCAGAAGGCTCTACTGACATGTCTCATATGCTAATTGGCATTTTCTACTATTGTAAATATTGCTCAATTAAATCTGGAATCTACAGGCAACTTGTCCACTTAATGAAAACTGTCAGTTGTTTAAAGCCCAAAACCCCATTATTTGTTTCTACCGTGGAAATGTGAAATGAAGAAGATTTGGAACCAGACTGAGACTTAAATAGCAGCTGAATTGTAAACTCCCTGCTGAATTTGGCCTTGGGAAAATAACTAAACATCTGAGAATGGTACAGTGATGGGGTAATGCACTGATCTGGGGTTCTTCCCCTTGGCTCCAGCTATTGCCTTCCCAAGGGAAAAGGCACAGGGAGCTCCATCAAGAAATCCAACTGGACTGACACAAGTCAGAAGCTGTTCACTATAAAAACACAGAAGTGCTACAGTCTATAAAATAATATGCAGACCAGATAAAAATACAGCCGTGTTTTTACTGGTGTTAAGCACACACAGCTCCCAAGAGTTGTGAGAAACTGTCTTTGCTGTCACCTCCCAAATCCATCCCCTCATTTCCATCATCTGGTACATGGGCCAAAAAGCTCAGGAATGTTATTTTATGGCTCATATTGGTGCTCACATCCAGGCCACCTTTCAATTATCCAAGTCTTAGGTGTGTAAAGAGTAAAATGGACCAACCATCAGATTTTAACGACCCGAAAATTTTCCCTTTACAACCTAAATTTCGAGCTGGATTCTTCAACCCCCCTCCTTTTAATGGATCAGGTTTTCTTCTAGTTCTTGTTACAGGAATTCCTCTTACACTGGAAGAAACTTCTTTTGGCAGAAGAGCAATTTTAGGTAAAGAGGCTCCCTGCTGCATTTACAGTCTGAGGGATGGTTCAACTTCAAGGGTTTTTTATACACCACTGCCAGTTTCCTAAAGCTCAATTGTACAGCCTGAAGCAGCCACAACCTCCTCCAACAACACCAAAACAAGGAGGAACTGAACTCTGCTGGTGCTAGTGGGTTATATACAATGGGGATGAGGTTGGGCTAAGTCTTATTTTCATCTTTGTTACCTTAAAAATATGTGCTTTGAGGATGTGGTGTCCCAGTTCAATGGTTTGCTGTCGATTGAGTTTCCCTTCTTGACGGGAAAACCAGAAGGCAAGTAACGTGTGGCCACTCCTGAAATGAGAAGGAAGAGCATGTTAGCATTTGGTTGTTACACCAACAAAACTACTTTTTGCTCCTGTTAGAGAAGGTGAAGGCATGGACTGTGAAAGGAAGATCTCCCCACTGTAGGAAAAGAGCAGGTTCATGATCATCTGAAGGAGCCGAAGGTGCCCAAGCCTGTGGGACCTGATGGGATTCATCCATGGCTCCTGAAGGAACTGGCTGGTGAAGTTGCAAATCCTCTGTCCATCGTGTTTGAAAAGTCTTGGGAGTCTGGAGAAATTCCCACTGACTGGAAAAGGGGAAACATAACTCCCATTTTCAAGAAGGGGAAAAAAGGAAGACCTGAGGGCTGGAGCACCTACCCTGTGAGGACAGGGGCTCCAGGAAAGCTGGGGAGGGACTTGGGACAAGGGCAGGGAAGGAGAGGACAAGGGAGAATGGATTAAAACTGGAAGAGTTTTAATCTAATCTCCTTCAAAACACATTTTCCAGCTTTTCCAGTCGTAGAGATGCTCCTGGTGACTGACATACCAGGTTGACAACTGAAGAAAATTAACTGAGCTACATGCAGAGCCTTGTTTAAGGCAAAATATAATACAGGAGACAATAACTTCCTTTCCCAATGGTGATTTTTATGGACATTTGAAAAAGTACAGATCTTCAGTTTTTATCACCAGAAGTTCACCATGGCTGGGTGTCCTCAAGGATGTGAGGAGCTGACTCTCCAGACACACACAAAACACACATGGCACATCAACGTGAAGTACTGCAAACCATTTCTGGGTGAAATCAGCAATTATCTGATCTCATGGGTGGACACAACAGCAGGAGACACAGCAAGCAGGGGAGGAGGCCACGAAAGCCCCACACCTGAACCTCAGTGGTCTGGGGACTTGTAATTGTCTTGGTTTTGCCAACAAACTCATATCCTTCTTCAAGCCCTTGAGTAGTCCCAAGAGAAACCTTTTTAACCCACTTAATTTCTGGAATTCAATAAAAATGTGACTACATATAAAAGCAACCAAATGCCTTCCAGCCAAAGAAAACAAAATATGACACCAACTGTGGCTTTCAGAGGGCTTCTAAGGACAGGGAATGTTATTAGCTCCTCATGATTTGGTAGAGCAGAGAAGTGCTTTGCTTGGCCAAATGGTGAGGAAATGTTAGAGCAGACAGAAGTTTTCACAACGTTGGGGATTTACCAGCACATCTCCAGGCAGGGAGAAGAGCTGCCCCTATCTCAAAATAACCTCAGAACAGAAGTGAAAGGCTTGCAGGGCCTTGGCAACATCCTCCCCCAGCCCTGCCAACAAAACTCCTTTTGGGCTCATGTTTTTGGCTCCCTTTCACACAGCCTGGTGTTGCTCTGCCAGCCCTGGTGAGACTGGTAGGATGTGGCCACGTGCAGGGTGGAAAACAAACCACTATTTTCTTACAAGGCAGGACTTGACCTCCAGGTCTTGATGGGTGAAAGGGCCCAAATCCCATTTAAGCTTAATAAAAGAAACTCACTGGTGAGTAACCCTGGTTTGTGCCTCTGCAAAGTGCAATTAAATTTATGGGGTCACCATCAACTCAAGGAATGAACTGTCATCTGAAATGTTTTTCATCACTAATGGTACCATTCACAGTTGGGGGGATGGAGCTGAAAAAAGACCTGAAAAGAACGTCCTCTTTTTTGTGTGTTTTGCTGCCAAGCTCCTCTCCACACCCTGGCTGGCACATGGTGAGACACCTGCACTGGGATCCCACAGCTCTGCCATCCCCATCCCTGGAGAAGGAAAAGCTCTTCCAGATGGTGACTCAACCCATCAAGATGTGTGCAGAGGGCAGAGTCACTGATTTCCAAGTGTCCATGCTGGGGGAATTCTCCATATAGCACCAAGAGATGTAAAAAGCTGGGAAAACTGAAGAGCCTCACAAGCAGTTGTAGCACCTTAAGTCTGTTGCCTTCCCTTGGCTCTTCCCCTTTGTTTCCCATCTCTGGAGAGGGAGGAGAACATCAGGGCCCATCCTTTTAAAGCAGATAAACAAATACATTTGCTTATTACACTGATTAACCTCCAGGAATGC